TTTTATGTACGCCTTTAATCGAGAATAGCAGGAAAGTTGCTTTAAATGTGAGTTAGCTTCTTCAAACAAATTTATATATTTTTGGATGCTTTTTTTAATTCAAGTTTGTTTTTTTCAATAAGCCAGCTAAGTGGCTATCTGTATATAAGAATGACATAAAGCCGTTTTAAGGGTGAGATGAAGTGCAAAAAGAAGCATTTATTTATGTTTCGTTTGAAAGTATTGCTAAATGAATTGAACTAAGCTGAAAAGAAGGAAATGAGTTGCGTATCAGATTTTTTTTGTTTACCCTAGATCATGTAGCGAAATTTACTTTAATGCTTTAAGGTGCTATTAGGATGGGGTTAGCATGATGTTTTTTAATCGACAATTGCTGCAATGAATGGGAGGTCAGAATGTGGAAACCAACCAACTACGAACTACAGTATTTTCTATGCTAAGATTTATGCTATAGACAAAGCAATTAACAATATTCTATTTGGAAAAGCCATTATCTTCGCCGATAGCTAAGTAATTTTGAAAGCAATTGGATCTCGGAAGTTGTACGGAACTGGCGTACCGCCTTTTGCACTGACATCTCAATATCACTCTTTGCTTAAACCAAGAAGCCAGGCAACCAATAAATTACTCAGGTATGGCAGACATCTCTAACCACAAAACCATAGTAGAAATCTGAATAATTACACTATAGCCGTTACAAATGACTTCTGGACCAAAGGAGATAATTAAGAGGTCTCGAGATACTTTATTAAAAAAAAACGGAGGAACTTCTGAAACTGCACATGTCTGTGGTAAGAGTTTTTAGCAGACCCATTACAGGACACTGGGCTATTGCCACGATATTCCAAAAACGGCGAATGCCATTGCAAAAGTTGCCACGATAAGAATGAGGAGAAATCAAATTGCCACTGTCTGTGGCCATGTGTAGAGGCCCCCAGTCGAAGCGACTCAAATACCTGGAATCAAGCTTCTTCGCCAGTCTGGCAGAGATAGTGGAGGTAGAAATCTTAGATCCGTTTCATTTCATTTCATTTGGTATAACAAGGGGTTCAATAAATTAACGACTAGATTATTTTTTCTCCGTTTAAAGGAACTCGGGTTCAAGTTCACAGAGTGTTCTAAGAATGAACTGAAAACATCCTAAAAATTCCAACTAAAAGAGGTAAAATTACGAAGAGTTTTCAAAATATTTTGAAGCGTCCCGAAAAAAACTCGAAAAATCTCGTTAAATCGCAAAAAGTTTCGAAAAATCCAAATTACCACGAATCGATTAAATTTTTTTTTTATCAATGCACAAAATTAAAAAGCAAAAATTAGCGCTTATTATCTGGTCAAAGAATAAACGACAAATAAATTTAATCTCTGGTTATCGATAAATATCACTGTGTGATAATTTTTCTGCTACTGATTTCGAGTATATGTATTATTTGGAAGTACTACATCAGGGAGTAAAATACTAGGGTGGTTGGCAAGACAGCGAGAAATAGGGAAAAGATATTTTACCAAGATTTGGCTATTTTTCTTTTATTAAAAAATATTTATTATTTTTTTATAAAAATACTATATAACTTTCTATCAAAAACAGAAACAATGTAGTGTGTGTTTTGTAGTCCTTTCGTTGATTTTGGCAATTTTTGTTTGCGCATTTTCTTCGATACAAAATATGTTCGACAATATTTTTGTATGGGGAAAATGAGCAACACCTTCCACAAAAAAATTTCCAAAAATCAACGGTATTTGCCAGGTACTTAAAACTTGCACTTTATTGCACTAAAATTATATGGGCTGGAAAACTGCATACTCAAAAAATTCTAAAAAATCTAATTAAAAAGTCGTCTCGTAATTTTGAGTTAGCGGTAACAGGGGATTTCCCCGACATATTTATATGTGTTTCATGATCACCATCCGCCA